AAATAAATAAATAAATAAATAAATAAATAAATGGGACAAATAGTAACTTCACAGGGATCAAAGTTACCGTTACTAATGATGGAAGAAAATGACACAGGAGGTACATGGCATCATTTCCACATGATCCCTGTCAAAACTGCATAATCTAAATTAAAGCATGGAGAAATATCAGCGAAACCAAATGGAGGAGCGTCCTGTGGAATAACTGGCCATCATGCACCAGCAGTATCACAGCCAGCAAAGACAAAGAAGACTGAATGTCTCAGAGTAAAGGTCACCAGGGGACATAAATGTTAAATGCAACAGCCCCCTCCTTGTAAATGCTAGGCAAGCTCTTTACCACTGAGCTATCTATCACTAACTCACAAATGATATTTATTTATTTGTTTGTTTGTTTTGGCAGAACCGGGGATTGAACTCAGACCCTTGCGCTTGCCAGGGAAGCGCTTACTCCACTGAGCCATCTCCCCGGCCACCCCACAAACAATTTTTAAAATGGCTATCGGTTTCCCATTACTGAAGCTCAGGGATGCGTACCTGGAGGTTCCTGTGCTGCCCCATCTGTGCAGCTACTTCAAAAGTCCTATTATGAGTGTTATAAAAGATGCCACGGAAATGTAACAATCACACGCTGAGCCAGTCCTTGTCTGGACTGGATCCCAACAAGTCAACTGCAAAAGAACACTTCTGCATTAGGGGCATGGCTCAGTGGTACAGTGCTTGCCTAGCATGTGTGTGCTCCATCCTAGCAATACAAAAAAGGAAAACACACACACACTTTGGAAACAAGGGAATTGAAATATGAATTGGCATTAGATCATAAGGAATTAGTCTTGATTTTTAAAGGCAGTTCTTACAGTTAAAAATGCACATGACATAACATTCATCGCTGTGACAGTTGAAAGTGTTCAATCTGCAGACATTAAGTCTGGTGAGTGTCGTACAACCATCACAGATCTCCATCCAGTTCCAGGGCTGGGGAGATAGCTCGGCAGTCTAAGTGCCTGCCTGGGGAGCGCAAGGACCCGGGTTCGATCCCTGGTACAATCCCTGGTACCACATGCTGTGCCGGCTCCACATCATGCAGGCCACCAAAACTGGTGCTGCATGCCTGTAATCCCAGTTCTCAGGAGGCTGAGACAGGAGGATCATTACAAGTCTCAACTGTGAAGTGAGACCTGATATCCAAAAAAAACCCAAACAAAAAACCCACAATGATCCAGTGCCAGAATGCTTTTATCACCCCAGAAAGTGTCCCCACACCCATGAAGCAGTGCTCCACATTCTCGAGTGTCCCCACACCCTAGTGGCTATTAATCTGCCTTCTCTTGAGACAGAATTACCCATTCTTGACGTCTCATATAAATGGAATCACACACCATGTGTCCTCTTGAGACTGGCTTCCTTCTTTCATTTAGCACAATGTTTTCAAGCTCCATCCATGTTACATTATGTGCCAGTGCTTTGTTCCTTTTCATGGCTAAATAATATTTCATGGTATGAACAGACCACATTTAAGCATTCACTGGCTGACAGGCAAGCACCTGCACTGTTTCCATCTTTTGGTTATTATAAACACAGGTAAAGATTAAAACAAACATTCACATACAAGTTTTTGATAGAACATCTGTTTCAGTTCTTCTGGATATATACTGGGGGATGGACAGAATTGCTGTATTATATGCTAAACTCTCTGCTTAATGCTAAAGAACCACCAAATACTCTTTTGGGGCACTGGTACTTGCTGTGACACTCCTATCACCAAGATATGAGGGTTTCAGTTTCTCTATATTATCACCAATACCTGTTACTTTCCATTTCTTTTCTTAAAATAGCCACTGTGAGGACATGAAATGCTGTTGTCTGGGTTCTCATTTGCATTCCCCTACTGGGCAAGGGTACCAGGCATCTTCACATGCGTTACCTGACCACCGCTAGGGGCTCTAATGCCTTGTAGCTAAATGCAAAATGCCATCAGTTTTAAAAGCCATACTGCAATAAGAACGGTAATAAGTCTGAGATTTGCTTTAAAATATGATAGTAAAAAGATAAGTTCTTTAAGAGAAAGAAAAGGGCTAAAGGAAGGGGTATAAATCAGGTCAAAAATGAACCTAGTTGATGGCCAGACAATGAGCACTGTCTTATTCTCTCCACTTCTGTATATGCTGAAATTTTTTACAATAGGGGCTGGGGAGATGGCTCAGTGGAGTAAGCGCTTCCCTGGCAAGTGCAAGAACCTGAGTTCAATCCCTGGTTCCACCACAACAAAACAAAACAAAACAAAAAAACACCAAGTAAATTTGTTACAATAAAAAGGAAGTTCTGCCTGTTCCTACCTGGTGGGCCTCCACGCCCATCACTTGCAGGGCACTCTGGAAAAACTCTGGGGAAGGTTTCCCCACCACCTCAGCTTCAACACCACAGGCATACTGAGAGAGAGAGAAAGAGAAGGACACAGCATGGGTTAGGGATCAAGAGCAGGTAGGTGTACAACCATGGAAAGGAGTCTCAATGTGTCCCCAAGGATCAGGCCCTGACCAGATGGGACACTGTGTGAACATCATGAGTCCGCAGTGGGCTGCCTGGGCTGCTTGGGGCATTTACCAGCACTGCTGGCACCCACCCAAAGGCCTATCCAAGTGTCCCACAGGTGACAGCCACAAGGCCTGAGAACCAGGAGACCAGGGTTCTTAACGGCTTACTCAGCTGCAAATGCACTCACCCGTCTGCCTCACCCCCAAGCCCCACTTCCGGCTCCATCACAGACTCACCTAGCAGAGGTCCAGGGCCCCACCCACCCACATATCTGCCCATCTCACCCCGCTGAGGGCAGGCAGGCAGGAGCTGCTGCACTATGAGGCTGGGGGTGACCTGAGCTGACCTGGGACAGCAGGCCCAAGAGGGGTCAGCTGAGGAGACAGAGGTCAGAGTGGAGGCAAAGGATTGACCACAGATGGCCTTGTGACTGGAGGAGAGGGTTGGGAAGGAGGTCAGTAAGGAGGCTGGAGCGGTCAGCACAGACGGGGAAGCCACTGGTCAAAGAGGCTATCGGCAGAGTGTGCCGGGAGGGTAGGGCAGCAGAGCAGATGGGGACGGGGACAGACTCGGGGGGCAGAGGAGAGTAGAGCAATATGGAGGCAGGCAAGAGGCCAGACCTCAGATGAGAAGGAATGAGTGGCTAGAAGCCCAAACAGGAGGGCCTGCTTTGTGGAACCAGCATGGCCCCCTGAACACAGGACACACCCTCTTTTTCCAGAAAGATCTGAAACATCCAGCTCTGAAGAGGGCTGGGACAGAACCAGGGCCAGTACCTCGAGGGCCTTCATATAGGCTCCAACGTCCAGCATCAAGCCTGAGGTCTCCTTATAGTAGCGTCTAGGAGAGAGCAGAGGGGACAAAGTGAGCTGAGCCATGGGTGCAGGTGATGGCACACTGAGAGTGACCAAGGGAGGTCAGCACAGCGGAGCCCAGGGCCAGAGACTCTGGGGATCCACAGGTCATTCAGAGTGGCCCCTGCTGCCAGCCTCGAAGGGACCCCACACAATGATTAAGTAGGAAGCCCTGGGGAGAGATGGATCGAGCTGCTAACACAGAGAAAGATAAGTGACCTGTGTTCTGGGAAGGGACATCAGGCCCATGGATCCGAGTAAATCCCTTACTGCTAATAATTAACCCCTAATTGCTACCCGAAGAAGAAAACTCCATTAGTTCCACAGCACCCTGCTGCATCGCACGTTAGCTGAGGTCAAGCGAGGTGCCAGGTTTCGTGGGCACCAGATGCTTCTGGGAGACGACAAGCATGTCTTGCCCCGTGTGTGAGGCCGAGGTGGGCTCAGCTCGCAGAAGCGTCTCTTCAGATGATTGCATTGCTCCTGTGAGCACTGTGTGCTTCCCAGCAGTGGGCCTGAGCCAGGGCCCCAGAGGCTAGCCAGTCTGCCCCAAGTCAGGCCTGAGCCTCGGGGCAGACATGGGCCCTGTCAGTCACACGGCAGGCCAGTCCCAGGCTCTCTAAGCAACGCTGCTGGACCACAGGGAGGGGAGAAGGTGGCTCGACCTGTGCTGCTCTAAACAGACTCAACATTCAAGGAAAGGGGCTGATTTTAGAATGATTAGTTGCCCTGCCACCCACATTAGTTTCTCTTGTCCTATTCCCTGCCCTTCATATTTAGGGACATTAAAGATGTGTCTGGCAAGAGAGACACATGAAGCAAGTTGACTTCAGGATGCAAATCCTCTACTTGTTTCCCAACAGTGATTTTAGGCTGCTTAAGCTTCTGGGCCTCCGTTTCCTAATGTGTAAAATGAACAAAACAACAAACCTATGTCATGTATTGCTGTGAAGTTTGAAAAAAAAAAAAAAAGGTAGACAACTTTATTATGACAACTTCATTAGTCAGGTCTAGAATTTGGGGGGGGGTGTTAAAAATAATTTTTTCAGGCCTGGGGAGATAGCTCAGTAGAACAGGTGGGTCCTGAGTTCAATCCCTGGTACCGCAAAACAAAACAAAACAAAAATAATAATAATAGGGGCTGGTGAGATGGCTCAGTGGTCTAAAGCACCTACTTGGAACAAGTTCAGCAAAGCACAGGGACCACGGTTCGATCCCCCAGCACCACATGCCAGCCAGCCCCACCCCCTGGTGGGCTGAGCTGGCCACACACACACACACACACACATAAATTAAAAAAAAATAATAATAATAATTTTTCAGAGCCGGGGAGATGGCTCAGTAGAATAAGTGCTTGCCTGGCAAGCACAGGGGCCTGAGTTCAATCCCTGGTTCTGCCAAAAAAAATCTTTTCAGTTTATTTGAGACAGGGTCTTGCTATGTAGTTGAGGTTGGCCTTGAGCTCACTATGTAGCCCAGGCTGGGCTCGAACTCTTGATGACCTTCCTGCCTCAGGCTCCCGAGTGCTGGGATGAAACGTGTGTACTACTACAATTGGCTAATTTTTATTTTTTTTTATTAGTACATGTTGCAGTACATAATGATTACATTACTCATGAGGAATTTGTCTATGTACATAATACATATTAATTTTTTCATACCTCTCCTTTTCCTTTCCTTCGCTTCCCCTTCCCTTTGTCTTTTGGAGGTCCCTTTTTTGGACCCTTTTCCATTTGCAAAAGATCTAGCTCCTTATTTCATATATCTTTCACTTTGCTCTGTACCTATATTTTGGATTTCTTGTATAATAATTTGACTTATTTATATTTTTTGTCTTTTTGAGACAGGGTTTTGCTATGCAATTTAGCCTGGCCTTGAGCTCACTATGTAGCCCACGCTGGTCTTGAACTTGCAACAATCCTCCTGCCTCAGCCTCCTGAGTCTTGTGTAATAGTTTTAAAGAGACACTGACTGATGAAACAGTTGGCTGGGAAGGAGGTTGGTCGGACCACAGCTGGTCTTCCCTACTCAGTCCCCCAAAGCCAGTGACAGGCACAGCTATCCCACAGGTCCTCTGTGGATCTCAGAGAAAAAGGAAGGACACAGGCAATAATAAGGGAATCATGCCCTTTTGTACCCTGCTTGAGCTGGCAGCAGACACCCAAGGGGTAGGAAGATGGAGAGGTGTCCCACAGTAGAAACAAAGTTGAGCTCTGAAGCAGCGGGAGGCTACCCAGCTAAGTAGGAGAGGAGCATCCCGGCCCGGGGTGCATCTTGGAATCACGCAGAGCACCCTGTGCCACGCTGCCCCAGGCAAGAAGGGTCTGCAACAGGCCCTCCAAGCCTTGACCTCTGTTCCCCTGTCATCCTTGCTCCTTTGACCTCATGGAAGGAGGTCTATGGGTAGCCAGAAGAAAGAACCAAGGGGCACAGGGAGGGCCTCCCTAGGGAAACGACACATAGGAGCGAGCCAGGGGTAGAGCCATTCATGAGGAAAGAGCACACGAAACACTGGAGACACCTCCCAGCAGCAATGGGGAACTACCTAAAACAGCCATCCACTGTGTCCACTGCAGCTTTTTGGAGCTGAGCACTTTGGGTGCTTCTGGGCCCAAACTCAGAAGGAGATGGGATGCTAGGCAGATGGAAGCACACCCTTCTCATTCATAAAAACCCTCCTCAGGAGATGCCCAGGGAGCAACCCTAATGGCCTCCGATTCCCCAGTGTCTTCCTCCTAACAAGAAAGATACCTAGGGCTGGAGAGATGGCTCAGTGGTCTAAAGCACCTACTTGGAACAAGCTTGGCAAAGCACAAGGACCGCGGTTCAATCCTCCAGCACCACATGCCAGCCAGCCGCGCCCCCTGGTGGGCTGAGCTGGCCACACACACACACACACACACACACACAATAAATAAATGTTAAAAAAAAAAAAAATTAAAAAAGAAAGATACCTAGGGGCTGGTGAGATGGCTCAGTGGTCTAAAGCACCTACTTAGAACAAGCTTAGCAAAGCACAGGGACCGCGGTTCAATCCCCAGCACCACATGCCAGCCAGCGCCGCCCCCTGGTGGGCTGAGCTGGCCACACACGCACAAAATTAATTAATTAATTAATTTTTTTTAAAAGTATAAAAAAAAAAGAAAGATACCTGGACTTTCTTGCATTTAAATTTAACCCTGGATTGGAAGAAACTGAATGTACAGCTCAGAATACACGAAGAAAACCCTATCTTTCTTATGCTAACCTTTAGCATCCAAGAAGAACATGAGCTCTGGAAAATCAAAATTAAAACCTTCGTATTTCTCTCTCTTTTTTTTTTTAACTGAGTCAGGGTTGGTTTTTAGAAAACCCATTTTTATTCATTCAGGAAAATAAAAGGCCATGTGGAAGTCAACTATGGGCCAAAAACATTTTCAAAGCTATAATAAATGTGAGTCCTTAATTTTTCCCATATTCTAGAGACTGGATGTATTTCTCCTGCACCTTGACATAATACAGTGCGCAGCAGCCATGGACAGGCCCTGCATGCTGCAGCTGTAGGGGAAACTGGACCCTGGAAGGAACAGGACGAGGCGGGAGGAGCAGTCAGATCTGATTTCATGCTTTATTCTCCCGCTGATTCCGATTATTCAGCACAGCCTCCCTTCAAAATGACCACTTGACCTTTCCCAGAAGAGTCATTAACCTTCCATAGTCTGTCGCATAAACAGCTTAATTTTCTGACAGCAGCATGACAGAAGAAATTACAAAGCCAATTCCCACTCTCCAGTGCAAACAGATGCCAAATGTAAATCACTCCATTTCCAGGACGACATCCTGCCACAGCGCCACTGCCATTCCTGACTCCTCGGCAGCACACACACCCGCACGGTGATCTTCTAGCCGGGGACAGTACCTGACAGCAGCTCCTTCGGAACTCTTGGGCTGCCTGGAGAAGCTGTGATCTCAGAATGCTGTGGAGTCCTTTTTCTTTTCTTTTCTTTCTTTTTTTTTTTTTTTGGTGTTACCAGGGATTGAACTCAGGACCTTGCCCTTGCCAGGCTCCTTTTTCTAGTTTAAACGTGCCTCCCACGACCCAAGTCAAAACTCAGCTGCCAGAGACCCTGCTCATCTCTTACTAACCCGGCCTCCTGCTGCAGTATTACAGCTGACAGCAACTGATTCCTATCCTCTCTTCAGTAATGTACCGATTTCATCTATTACTCATAACCTGAAATAAAAACTTGTAATACTTAAGAAACAACTTTAAAGAAAAAAGTTTTAACATAAATGAGTCACCATAAAGGCCAGCTAAATAGCTCAGCAATTAAAGTGCCTGCTTAGGCAGACACAAGGACCAGGGTTCGATTCCTGGCGTGGCGTGGCGTGGCGTGCTGTGCCGGCCCTGCCTCTAGGGCACACTGAGATGGTGATTGAGACTGGGCATCGTGGCGCACGCCTGTAATCACAGCCCTCTGGGAGGCTGAACACAGGCGGATCACTATGAATCTGATCTATGTAGCGAGACCCTGTAGACCCTGTACTAAAAAAAAAAAGAAAGAAAGAAAAAAAAAAAAAGAAATGAGTCAACATAAAGCTTCTCTAGAGAAATGACAAACCAATTCTTCTTATTTCCTGGTAGGGATTAAAAACTCAATACCCATGGGCTGCGCACAGAGTGAGGTAAGCAAGCGAGGCGCTGCAGTTGGTCTCATACCAGTGACTGAGATGGTCACAGGTTGTAAGGGACCATGATGTTTAATTTTATACTACAATGTAGCTGGGCCCTGGCTGACAAGATAGGTAATCAAACATGATTCTAGACATTGCTGTGAAGATGTTTTTTGGGGGCTGGTGAGATGGCTCAGTGGTCTAAAGCAGCTACTTAGAATGAGCTTAGCAAAGCACAGGGACCGTGGTTCAATTCCGCAGCACCACATGCCAGCCAGCCCCGCCCCCTGGTGGGCTGAGCTGGCCACACACACACACACACACACACACACACAAATAAATAAAAATTTAAAAAAAATAAAAATTTAAAAAAAAATCTATTTTGGATGAGATCAATACTTAAATCAGTGAACTCAGAAGAAAACAGATCACCCTCCATGGTGCAGGTGGGTAAGTCCAATCGGCTGGAGGATTTAACGGGGTAGGCTAGTCTCCCGTAGGCAAAAAGGAACCCTGCCAACAGACAGCACTGGGGCCAAAGGGAAGTACAGTCCTTGCCCAAGGCTCTGTCTTGCTAGCCCTACTTAGCAGATTTTGGATTATGCCAGTTATGGGTTAGATATGAAGGACTGCCCACAAATGCTCATGGTTTGAGGGCTGGCTCCCTAGTGCAGCAACGTTCAGAGGTGGTGCCTAGAGAGCTGACTGGGTGAGGGCACTGGGTTAAATGGGTTAACACATTGACAAGTGTGCAGCCAAATGAGCTGTTAGGAGGTGGGGCACAGCTGGAGGGATTGGGTCCCTGGGGTGCGTTGTTGGGGGGTTCATGCCAGTGGTGACCACACGTGCTACAGTAGGCTGTTGGTTACCATTGAAAGCTCTAAAAGGCCCACCATAAAAAAAAAATTAAAGAAAAAGTTCTTAGGGCTGGGGAGATAGCTCAGTAGAATAAGTGCTTGCCTGGCAAGCACAGGGTCCTGAGTTCAATCCCCAGTACCGCAAAACAAACAAACAAAAAAAAAAAAAAAAAAAAAAAAAAAAAAAAACCTCTCCATAATCCATACCTGCCCGTTATTCTAACTCCATGTTTCTCAGCTTCCCACTGCACAGGGGAATAACTCCCTTCTGCTGTGCCCTTTTCCAATGATGGTTCTGACTGGAACCAGACAATTGTGCACTAAACCACTGAAATCATGAGTTAAAATAAACCTTTGCGCTTTTTAAATTGCTACCCTCTGGTATTGTGTCCTAGCAACTCAAAACTGACTAACATAGCACACCTCCACAATGAATCAATTGCTCTGTGATGTGTCCACATCCTATAGGTTCCCATTTCTCTAGAGAACCTCATTAGTACACTGAGCCTCTTTTATGTACATGATGCCTAAAACTATTTAGTTGCTAAGACTATGTATCCTACTCTGTTTCCTTACTTTCTTTTTTGGCAGAACTGGGGATTGAGGGCTGGAGAGATAGCTCAGTAGAATAAGTGCTTGCCCGGCAAGCGCAAGGACCTGAGTTCAATCCCTGGTTCTGGCAAAACAACAACAAAAAATAAATTAATTAATTAATTAACTTAGGGCTGGGGAGATGGCTCAGTAGAATAAGCGCTTCCCTGGCAAGCGCAAAGGTCTGAGTTCAATCCCTGGTTCTGCAAAATAAATAAATAAAGAAAGAAAGATAGTTCATAAAACAGAACTGGGGATTGAACTCAGGCCCTTGCGCTTGCCAGCAAACGCTTATTCTACTGAGCCATCTCCCCAGCCCTTTCTTTCTTGAAATTGCTTTTATTTTCCTATTTTTGATATACATAGTGTGAAGAAATGCAATAATGCTCCACTGTGACAAAAAACAACAAACAGCAGACAATAAATAGTAACTGATGTTGAAGACTGAGACAGGAAAAATAAGGAGTGTTGGGGTCTCTGGTTAATGGGAATTAATACATTCCTGGGAGCATCCAAGAAAATGGGGCTTAATACTGTTGAACCTTCTGACTGTTCAAAGGAATTCAGAAGTCTGGCTATATTACATAAAATCTCGCAATTTTTCACAGATTCAAAATTATTTAAGATCTTGGCGTATCAAGCATCTGCTCTAGAACGTAACCTAGAGGTAACAAGCAGAGGCCCTGCGGTTAGCCAGACCAGGCGGTGCTCCTGCTGGTACCAGCTCACCTGGGGAAGCCAGTCTTCGTACTTTATCCCTCCCACTCCCCACCTGCCTACAGCTCCCAGGGCTGTGGCCAGAATCAAATAAAATGGAGAACAGCAACTGATTCAGCACAGCCAGTGGCCAGATCAGAGGTCCCTCCCTGTCTACTCAAACAGCTGGACAGCTGGCAGATGCTGGGAGTGACCAGTCACCAGCAGAAATAAGGAGGGAAACACTTCCTCCGAGAAGGCCTGAGAATTCCCATAGTGAGAAGCCGTGATAGGGACTCCAAAGTGTCCTTGCAACATCAGAGCCCAGGAGTCTAGACTTTTAGTGGTTTCTCCTGATGACTGGATAAATCAGCACAGCTTTCTGGACAATAGCTGGGTAATGTACACCATAACCTCAAAAAAGCACACTCTGTACCTGCTCTGAAGACATCACCTAAATGTACAAAGATGCACCAAACAGTATTATTATTATTATTATTTTAAATTGTATTTATTTGTGTGTGTGTGTGTGTGTGTGTGTGTGTGTGTGTGGCCAGCTCAGCCCACCAGGGGGCGGGGCGGGCTGGCATGTGGTGCTGGGGGATTGAACCGCGGTCCCTTTGTTTTTGCTAAGCTTGTTCTAAGTAGGTGCTCTAGACCACTGAGCCATCTCACCAGCCCCCACACAGTTTTATTATAATAGAAAAACAGGGGGCCAGGGAGATGGCTCAGTAGAATAAGCACTTGCCTGGCAAGCGCAAGGTCCTGAGTTCAATCTCCAGTACTGCAAAAAGAAAAAAAAGAAAAGAAAAACAGAATAGTCACATAATGGATAACTATGTCACAGAGATATCTGTTCACCATGTGCAAAGTCATTCATAAAACCAGGTTTAGTGCACAACTAAAACCAAGTTATTAAATCAGCTCTAGTGTGATATTACTGCTGTGACTACTTCCATCTGTAAGGATTTGCTTGAAAGGACAGAAACCCAAATGTTGACATGGTTTTCCTTGTATAGTAACAATGAACATACCTTTCTATTTTCTCCTTTTACTCACTTGCATTTTCTAACTTATCTTCAAAGAACATGTGCTATCTGGGTGGTAAGAAAAGAGGTTAAGAAAATTAACCAGGGGCCGGGGAGATGGCTCAGTAGAATAAGCTCTTGCCTGGCAAGCATAAGGGCCTGAGTTCAATCCCCAGTTCCAAAAAAAAAGAAAGAAAGAAAGAAAAGAAAAGGGGCTGGGGAGATGGCTCAGTAGGATAAGCGCTTGACTGGCAAACGCAAGGATCTGAGTTCAATCCCCGGTTCTGCAAAAAAAAAAAAAAAACAAAAACAAAAAAACACCCAAATGCTGTTTTGTTTTAAGAACAAATGGCATTAATGGCTTAGATTTTGTACTTCCCCCAAAGGCTAACATGCCCAAGGTTTACTCCCCAGCTGATGTGGAGACAGTGAAACTTTTGAAGGCAGGGCCTAGTGAAAGAAGTTAGGGCACCGGGGTGTGCCCTGGAAGGGGAGCTGGGCCGCCACTCCTTCCTCTTTCTCTCTGCTCCCCAGCACCCAGGAGATGCACAGGTTTCTCCCACCACATCCTCTCACCGTGATGTCCTGCCTAAATGTACAAAGCTGCTTTGTACCACGCTTTACTGTAATAGAAAACCACAAGTAACCTTAATGTCCTCCAACAGGGATCAGTTAAACGACTACAGGATAGTCACGTAATGGATAACTATGCCACAGAGATATCCGTTCATCATGTGCAAAGTCATTCACAAAAGCTGACACAGATCATAAGGCATGTGCGAGAGACAAAGTGCTGGTCAGAAAGTCAGAACATTACAGAGACAGTGTTCCGTAATCAGAGACACCCAGAGCCCAGCCCAGAGCAACGCCTCAAGCCTATCTGTCACTGCTGAGGTGTTCCCTGGGGCCATTCTTCAACACCTTGTGCTATATCCTGGCCAGGCCACCTTCTCCTGTACTCCAAACTCGGGATGGCTCACATCTGGCCGCTGAGATCTCCACAATCTGCCCCCTGCCCTCCTACCCTCTCCCAGCTAAAGGTCCACACGGAAGCTTGATCACTAACTCTGAGGACAGAGTATTCTGCTTTCCTAAAAAAAAAAGTCATTGAAAGAAGGATGAGATGAAGAAGAAGAACAAGAGAGGAGGGAGATGGAGAAGGGTGCCCTGTTCTCCTTCCATACCACCTGGCTACATCCACCCTTGCTTGATTCTGGGTCAGAGAACCACAAAGCATCACCCAAAGCACCCAGAAATGCCTTTCCTTGGAGCCGACTTACCCTTTTCCCAGTGATATGAGCACAGGATTTTCCAGTTCCATGAGCACCTGGAAGGCTTTATTCATGTTTTTATAAGAAAAGGCATCACAAGCATCTGCAATCACGACACAGTTTGGGTTGGATGTGTCAATCTTATCAAATTCTGAGCGGATTTCTAGAGACAGAGAAAGGAAGAACGCAGTCAAGCCCCGAGATGACTTAGTTTACTTTCAGCTCCTACTGGGGACACTTTCTGTCTTTTATATCTCCCCTTTCTCAGAGGAATGAAGTCTCTGTTTCTTTTTACTAAATTAATTAGATTAAATTAATTTACAGGCACTAAGCACTCCTTTCCGATCCTCAGTTACAATGGGAGGTCCATCAGACAGGTAAGGAACCTCTTGGCCTCCCTCGTTACAGAGCTTGTTAGAAGAAAACTCGACTCGTACCCAGGAACCCCCAACGCCAGCGTTAGCCCCAGGAGTTCCTTACTTCAGTACTGAGACGACGTCCACAGCCATTGGCGCACACACCCTGCGGAGGAGCGGACTCTCACCCTCGCAGCTGCCTGCCAGCCCCCTTGAGAAGCCTTTTTCTTGCCCTCCTCTTTTGTCCTCCATTTTCAATTCATGTAGGGAAAGTTGCAAAAATAGAGTCATTGTCTTTACTTTTTAAGTTCCCAGAAGAAACATCTCTCTTGACATTAAATGCTGAGCTTCAGGATTTAAAAAAATGGAAGCAGGGGCTGGTGAGGTGGCTCAGTGGTCTAAAGCACCTACTTAGGACAAGCTTAGCAAAGCACAGGGACCTCGGTTCGATCCCCCAGCACCACATGCCAGCCAGCCCCGCCCCCTGGTGGGCTGAG